CACTTTTGATATAAGTTAAATAAAGTTTATTCAATTAACTTTTCATCACAGTGCAACTTTACATCTTGAGCTCAGTCGACAGTTTTCCACGATTGCTGCGAACGAAGCCACATCGTCTCAAGATCGGCATTTTGATAATTCAGGCACACCTGTCTCTCCTTGTGGCGCTAATAGTTTGCATGGTTAGCAAGTCAATAACAAATAGAAAATTTCCAGGCGGTTCAATTATACCTCGACAAAAAGCGGAACTAACAACAACAGCTTCACGAAAAAATCCATTCGAACTTCTCATTGCTTTAGGTTTGAATGAGTTATAAAATTTTTCTGCTTTCTTGTTTAAATGATTAATGGTGAAAAGCCTCACATCATGGTTATTTGTATAGGATAACTCAGATCCAGAGTTTAGAAATCTGGAAGTCCAAACCGACGTTCTATGGAATCATTAATTTTAAGTCAGCTTTCTTTTGTTTCTTTTTTTACCTGTGACCTTATCCCGAAAACAGCCTAGTGCTATGACCTGAGAGGGTTATTTACACAATCAATACTAGCTAAGTTTGATACTTAAAGCATTTAAAGTCAGTTTGTTATCTCATTGTTATAATCTCTTCTTCAGCTTAAGACCCATTAATTCGGCCCAGTATTTTAAACGGTCAGCTAAAGAGTTATATCACACTTTTCAAGTTGCTCCATCATCCAGCAGTTATCGTGCTTTTTTTGCAGCTATGCAATGCAGAAAATGCATATTAACGAGGGGTGTTTGTGTGTGTGTCTGTGTCTGTGTGTTCGTCTGTACCGATTTTTCATCTCAAGACCTACAAAAGCTACAGGTGAAACTTTGGGAACTTAATCTACATGCATGTTCGGGCCTCATCCCCGAAATGGGTGGTCTTGCCCGCGTGGTACCCTCGTACGGGCCCGTGAAAGCTTTCTGCGGGTAAGTCGCTAACTCTCGAACCAGAAAAGCTAAAAAGCTGGAATTTTAAGGGGATGTTCCCGTCCACGTTAGTCTAAATGAGCTCAAACCAGCTTCCGGGTATGCATGGTATCCACGTACGGGCCCCCCAAAATTTTTTCGGATAAGTAGCTAACTCGAGAATTTGAAAAGTTAGAGGACTGTAATTTCAGAAGAATATTCCCCATTTACCTAGGTCTCACTGAGCTCATACCCAGCCTCCGTGTGTACATGGTACCCACGTACGGTTTCGTGAAAGTTTTTTCGAGTAAATTTGCTGACTTAGACGCCAGGAAAGCTTGAAATCTGAAATTTTAAGGAGGTATTTCCTAATAGTTCTGACGGCCAGTCTTGATTTGTTTAGCTAAAAGCATTTGCCGGGAAAACCGATGCCGGTAGTGATAAAAACTGCGGGGAACTACGCAAAAAACGCATCTTTGCACGGGCAGCCCGTGCTTTGGCCAGTTATTAAGCATAATTAAGATAATGAAGGTTTGTTGTTCGGCACTGCTAGAACATCAGTTTCATGATAACGTTTGAAAAAAAAGAGAGCGAATGTCGGATAGTTTTGCTACTCCGGTGTAAAATTGGTATCCGATGCGGTGACGCCGGCCAGGTCAAACAACTTAAAGCATTGTTTCTGTTCATTCCCAGTGCAGCTTTTGACATTTCAAGGCGCATGTCATTCGGCAAATAGACATGTTCCATTTGTATCGGGTTTGAGATTAAAAGAAATTCTGCTGTTTTATAACTGGCCAATTCCAACTTTGGTTTAATCCCTCATTTCTGAAACAAATTTTCTGTGCATCACTGTAGAACCGTTTAGTGCGAAATTTCAACTTCTGTTTTGGTGATAAACGGTTTCTAACTTTCTTCTAGTTAAGTCTACAAAATTTGAGACAGCAACAAGGTTGATGTAACTGCAAAAGCAACCGGCCAGCTTTACTGGGATGACGGTGAAAGCTTCATCGATGATGCAGCCAAATATTCCTACTATCATTGGGAGTTCTACTTCGTATCAACAAGCACAACAGCAGTTTTGTACATCAAACCTACCAAGATTAACGTACGTCCTTTTCAACTTTTATGCTCACAGAAGCTGAGCTTTACATGAAAATTACTGATTAAATATAGTCACTGGCCATCAGCTTGGATCGATGCGACCTTTAATAGAGGGAGCCATTGGCAGCTTTGCCAGTGAGTGCTATTGACATTTGCTGCCATTTGGGTTGTTTTCGATTATCTTCGCTTTTCGTAAAAAGTAAGTGCGAAGCACGAATTAGGAGTTACTCACACTGTTCAGCACGGTGCAGTTCTTGTTCTGCAGCCACTGAGTACCACTAGCTTCTGTGAGAAATATCAGTCAAGTAAGTTGCACAGATTCTCAAGCGCGTTTTATTTGACGCTAACCGAGAGAATCCCATTAATTTTTACTGGTTTTAAAGGTGAAGCAATAATACATTTAAGCGGAAAATCAAACCCAGGCTGGAACGCACCGGGTGGGCCCGTGCGATCATGCGTTTTTCACCGGACTTGAAGTAATTAGGTCAGTAATTAGGTCATGAATGGCTGTTGC